CCGAGCACCATGTAACACCTTATGAATATGATTACTTCTGGTCTAGACAACTGTGATGCATATTTTGATGATGTCATCATTTATTAACCTGGAAAGAACATCTAAGAAACGGAAATTCTTCAACATATTCACGGATGTAAATCTGACTATTAATTTATCTAAAAGCCAGTTCTTCCGTGCATGTGTTACTTTTCTATCACATATTGTGGGACATGGTCAGACTAAACCTGTAGATGTTAAGGTCAAGGTTATTACAGAATTTCCAGTGCATGTGAATAGAAAAGAAATGATGCGATTTTTAGGCATGTCTGCGTACTATTGCAATTTTGTTCTAATTTTTCTGATGTAGTTGAACCTCTGACAAACGTGTTGAGGAAGAAAATCAAGTTTTTTGGGGGTGAAAAATGTCAAGAGGCTTTTGATAGATTACAAGCCATACTTGAAAGTGCACCAGTTTTAACGGATCCAGATTTCTATCAGCCGTTCAAACTATCTGCAGATGCGTGTGATGTAAGGTTCTTTGTTCGAAATTTACGTCTAGATGGCATACTATATATTTCATTACCCTGTTCTATGCATTTTATCATTAATAAAAATCAATTCGTTGTGACAGAAGCTTAACCATAAAAAATTCTCGCTTTTGTCCAAACTATTGTTGTCAATGTTTTAATATAAACGATGCTTACAATATTAAATAGATTGCAAGAAAATTATAATTTCTGTCACAACTTTAGGTAGACAGCAACAATATTAAATGTATGGTTTTTACTAAAGAATGCAAGGAGAAGGTAATGTAGTAACAAATATAAGCAAAATAGTTTATTCAGAAGAGTTACTTATGTACACGACTTTTCTAATTACCATTGTTGTTGTTGTTGGGTTTAACGCCATTTTTCAGCACACGATAGGCTAGTCCTTGCGGCCAGCAATTATGGTGGAGGAAGAAACCGGGAAATCACCGGAAAGAACCACCAACCCACAAGAAGCTACTGGCATGCGTTCTCACATATCCACATTCGCCGAATCCTAGACTCGAACACACTCAGACAGAGTTGATATGGCAGTGATCCATAACTGAGAGCTCTTTAGAACACTCTGCCACTCGGGGCCCCTTTTAATTACCGAACCATTCTGTGTTAACATAACGTTGGTTAACATAATTTCAAGAAACGCATGTAGAATCGAGAACAAAAATAAACTAGTTAAATAGAGCATTGCGCGAGGAATATTCCGATATTATTTCCTCCCAAATCAGATCATTGAGACTCTGTGTTTTATTTAAGAAGCAAATACCTCATCCTCTAAGCTAATGCTGTGCACGGAAGGTTAAATAAATATTAGACAGTTAATCCTGAAGGTACTGTTATATCGCCCTACAAGCCAAAAATGGTCATGTACCGTCCAGATTAATAGAGACTACCAAATATTTTAAGAGAAATGGAAAATGATAATATTTACAGTTTAATCACTGGTAAGTATTAAATAGAAATTAGCTCTTGCTAATGACCCAAATTGGAAAGCTACACCTGTACCCTCTCTGGAAGGTCCTCTCTGGTAAGATCTGATCATCGCCTGACTGTAAAGGCAGATGCTGGGCGCTTGTATTGTTAGCGCAGGGCATCAGTTCAGGTGCAAAAGTAAATGATGCCATCAGCTGCATGTGGACTTATCTACAAACGTTCTGACATTATCATTCTACTGAATGGAGACAGGCCCTGGACAAATGAGTATGTTACTGCACAGTTTTGCCTTAAATAAATCCAACTCAAGCACAAGCCATGACATTATTCCAAACGACCCACCAGATTTATTTCAAGTCCTATGGCGATTAGCGAGTGGCAATGTAGCAGGCATGAATACGTTCGAAGATAGCTGCAGACAGACACACAGAGGGCTCATGGCATAAAATCGTGTTGCACTGGACAGAAACAGCAGTGGAATTTGGCTGCATCCTTAGTGTCTGAGCAGCTCTTTTAGGATCATACTGCTGAACCTCTGTAGCACAAGGAATGGAATAAAAATATGCTCTAGATATTGCCTGCTTGACGTTAACCATGCTTAGCATACCACGGATAATGGAGATCCTACACAAGCAGACTGTTGGATAACATAGCAGATAGATCAGAGAGACGATATTTCTAGTTGGTAGAGAATTCGCGTTATTCAACAGCCATATAGTACCCTTGAGTGACACTCTCATAGCTGAAGAAGGACATCTCACATAAGTAAGAGCAAGCTACGCATCCTCGTTGGTGACTTAAATGCTAAAGTTAGCACAGATCACCGAGCATGGTAGATTTCATTGTCAAAAATGGCTCTGGCTATGTACGAATGTGATAACCTTGCGAAAACTGTCAACGATTAAATATGTTGTTCAGATTATTGAAAATTTTAAATAATACAAGAAATGCTTACTTACCTTGTCCCAATCTAAGTCCAAACAAACCGTCAAGATTTATGCTGCTATAATCCTGACCAAAGAAGTTCAGCATCTTCTCCAGGGCAAGATATACATTCTGAACTAATTGAGTGTCCACTTTAGGTACTGATGATGTCGGGGATCCTAGGGTATCCGAGATCCCAATGACCAGCAACAAGAAATACACAGACCCAGACCACCTTAGCATACCTGTAATTGTAGAGATTACGGCAAGAAGACATGAACAAAAGCCGCAAGTAACGACAGGTATTCCAATTAACACAATAGCTGAACCTTTATCTGCTTCGCATTTAAGTATATATTGCAGAACCGCCCCACTGACGCACATTAAATGATTAAAGATGTCGAAAAGCCAAAGACGCGAGGGAAAGAAAAGAAGTGTATAATTTTAACCAAATAGACAAACTTTTTAATTTACTACAAAAGGAAAGATAAACTATATATAACTAAGATGTACTGGTGTGTGAATCGATGAATCTCGGTATGACTTCTTAACTATTTAATTTATATTAATAGATAATTAAATGGCAAGACAGTTGCAACGACATAAATGAAACAATCAATGGCTGATAGTAATAAAAATAGAATGTAGATGGAAGAGATACTGCATTATCTTAAATAAACGGAATGTAACATCTTAGAGCAAGATATATTCTCTACTGTTAAACAGCGCAAGATAAAAAAAATTCCTAGTTATTTATGCGAGAATAATCGTATGACCAGGATAAACCAGAAACTCTGACTTTTTCTGCCTGTCTGCTGTCTGCCTCCCTGTTATACACACACACACACACACACACACACACATATATATATATATATATCTATATATATATATATATATATATATATATATATATATATATATATATATATATATATATATAAGTAGATTAGAAGAAGTAGAATGCAGTATTAGTAAGAACAGTAAAAGCAGAAATGTATATGAAGATATGGAGAAAATAGTTTCGAAATAACTACATTTTGGAGAGAGAGAGAGAGAGAGAGAGAGAGAGAGAGAGAGAGAGAGAGAGAGAGAGAGAGAGAGAGAGAGAGAGAGAGAGAGAGAGATCAAAGCACGACTAATGATTTAATTATACTCAACACCTCAAAGACTTTCGACAATGTTTTATTTATACTCAAAGCTCGAGGACTTGTGAATACGTCTTTTGACCATGCAGAACTATCATGCGGTCACAAAAAATCGATGACATGAATCAAAATATTTTAGATTTCAAAAATACAGAATGATTAAAGAAAACTTTTTTTCCATTTAATTTGTATGCCAAGCAGTATGTATTGAGTCCCCTATAATTGTCATGTAAACAAAATCCCATACACGCTACATACGGGTGCTAGATTTGTTTTAAAAATTAACCATGCTGTGAACGAAATCTTTCCTCAGATTATTCTTTTTCAAATCCAATCGTGTCCAAGAACTCCCACGAGTTGTATTTTCATCAATGAGCACGCAATAAAATCGGCGACATATATCAAAATATTTTTTGAAAAGCCATAGTTTAGAGTTGTTAATGTTACTGAATACATGATGCGTAGAAATAGTGTGATTCCAATTCAACTTAGAAGTTAAAACTTGCATTAAACATAAAATAATCACATTATCAAGGGACGCAGAGAGGCGAACAAACCATATGCCTGAAACCTTATTTATGAAAAATAAAGCTTCCTACGAAAATGAAATCTTAAGGTGAATAACGTTAGACCAATGCCTCTAACCCTGAATGTCAAGCCATGAGATTTCTCTATTTGGGTTAGGTCATTTTGTTACATCATCACTGACGCTTTGGTTTCACTCAACGCTGGTCGTTCACCTCCTCTGCTGTTATAATTAAATCAATGGAATCTCATATAGCTAGATTAGCTTGAGTGCAACAAGAGGCAACTAAAATACATATACCAGACCGTGATTCTGTCAACATCAACAATCTTGTCAGTAGTATCAAGTGGATTTGCAGAAGGTGCAGAACAAATATTTAAACCAATTATTGAACCAATAAAACAAATTGTTAAAGAAGCTAAAGCAACAAAGAAAGCTCATAAAATATTCTCTGTTGATATTACTGGCCGTATTCAAGCAGCTCAACCACCAACCCTCGTTCAACCTCCTGAATCATAACCTGAAGATCAACCACAACCTCTGCCTTGTTTCAAAACGTATATAACGTATACATTTCCGCCTGAAGTTCTTGCCGCTATCAGGGACGAGGACCAAGTAATGGATATTACTGCGTATGGATTTCATGAAAGAGAAAATTATGTAAACCCGAGTATATTAACACTAAAATATGCCGATTGGATTAGGAATGTAATGTGATGTGATTATGATTTTTAACGTAGCATTAACAATTGTTCAGTCATATCGCTACGATATCTGCATTATGACTATTTATAGCGATGTTTAGCACTGGTGCATGATGCAGCAGACATGCAGCATGATGTCCCACCAAGTCACACTATCCTGACACTAGGTTGACCAGTCCTATCACAAAACTCTTAATGCTTAGCGTTAAACAAGGCATCTATTAGTACCATGTATGTATGCCTATGGTATGAATGGACCGGTGAACAAATCCACGACTTTCCGCGTCCGAGGCGGATGCTCTAACCACTGGGCCACATTAGCGGTTGATCAGGGATGTATATACACCGCTACTTATACTCCTCAAATCAGAAATGAGAGAAATATTAATCGGTTTAATGTTTCTAACCAGGCAGTAAATGAATATGTTAAACAAGAAAAGCAAGCAAGAAAACAAAAGGAGGACGAAATGAAGTCAAAACTTGATAAAGCTAAACAATCAAGGAGACTAACGAAAAAAGTCAAACGCTGAAGAGGTTGAACAATCCAGAAAACTAGAAGAAGAAGAATTAGTAGCATTGGAAGATGCAATAAGGATTATAAATTAAAGAAAAAGAGAAATATTATCTAGCCCCAGTGCCATTTACTACTCGATCAAATAGTCTTATTACTCCATGTCCCGATAACGTCCTTACCGACATGGACAGAATAGAAATTTTGATTGGCGGAAAACGAGTGGAAAATAATTATACGGAACTTATTATTGAAGCAGCTGATATTTGTCAAAGATTATGGCGATATCTTGAAAATTAATTTATAACGGTCCCTCTTTAATTAAATCTCAGATGATTACTACAGTGTTTAATGAAAGCAATTAGATGCAACGATTAAAATAAGATGATCGTATAAAATGCTTAACGTGGACCGATGATAATCAGGGTGATAAATTCAAGATTACCTATATATAATTCATTCTACTGGGATGGATTCTGCGATGTTTTTCATGGTCTATTCAATAGAATAGCCCTATTATCGATTGAAAAGCAATTGGGAATGAAAGCTATAGATGTTATTGGTGAAAAAGGTTTAGGTGCTGTTGGTGCTGTTGGTAATGTTTCCGGTATAGCATTTTCAGCAATCAGTGATAGAATAGCACGATTAATACGACAAAAATCACAGCAAGAATGTGATCATCAGTATTATTCTTATGATGCACTTGTACTGATGAGTGTGGATGAATTGAACTACAAGTTCAAGCAGATATTTCTTACCTGCTGAGGCATTCATCGAAATAGAAAGTAGACTTTTAATCCAGATTACAGAATTGGTTTTTTCAATAATGGCATTGCGGTGTTATTGAATAGAGCCACATATATGACTGATGGACGAGAGATTGAGGTTTTGTCATAACGACATCGACGTTGCCACAAAGACACTTGGTCTTGCAAGATATAGTGATGATTATTCAAGATCACCTGATTCATCAGTGATGTTCGCCAAAGACAAAACTGATCATCCAGAAAACAGCAATGTAACACTAAATGCAACTGGGGACAAAACTGTATCGACGAATCAAAATTTCAACTTGGGATTTGCATCACGTCGTGCAATGCTAGGCGATAATGAAATAAAAATATTAGAAAGGTTATCTTTGGAACGAAACATACGTACTCGTACGAAAAATACACAGATGATGATGCAATATGGAACGTTAAATGTGTTAACCCAGCTGTAACTACGACCCTTTACGGTAAAGTTATTCTGACAAAACGTTCCTTGTGGATGACAACAATGACTCCAACACTAACCGAAGAACAACAGTTACCTTCTTTTATGGGTCAGGCTGTTAAATCAACGTTGTCATTATTGACTTTGACCACAGATGCTTTTCAAATTAACATTAATGGTTTAATTACATGGTAGAGAGCATCACATCAAGGTGTCTCTGCAGTGTGACATATATTTATTGCTTTTCGAGATGTTACGCAAGTAAACTCATAAATACGAAGTGCAATGATATTTGAAACACTCGGTGTTTCTGAGGTTTTTTTGAGAATAAATGTACATCAAGAACCTGCCGATGATATTTTGTTACATTTCGAACAAAACAGCATTGTACGTGCATGCTATCGATTAATTGATGACATTTGTTGTGCGTAATCAAAATGTTGATACTAGTTTGCAAATATCTCTGCGAGATCTTACAACGTTGTATCCGATCTATTATTTTTCGCTGGAACACTTGGATTTATTTAGACAATATTTCGTTGATATACACGTCTGAGATTGTGTGAGAAAAGGATCTATCGCTAAGTTTAGAGTTATTGCTGTTATACTCAGGGATGAAACAATGCAACTTGAAGATGTTGCACGAATGCGAGTCATTGATACTGCAGTAGAAAACATGTAAAATATCTCTGATTTAAAATCAGAATGATGCTTATAAATGTCATATAATCATGTTAGGGTTAATCTGACTCCTGGTCAGATTAATCCGCATAAATAATGACTGAATTAAAAAGATCACAAATGGTTAAAATAAACTATCATCATCACAAAGTCGGCATAGACACGTCAATGAAGACAAACAAATACCGGCATACGACTAAATCTCTCTCCGAATGACATTAAAGACGCCGCTAAACGGGTGGTATATGTCCACTTCTTGCTGCGTTACAAGCGATAATAACTGCTGAAGCCCCAGTTGTGAAAGCAGCTACGTTAGGTGATGTTGGAACAGCTGCTGAAATCACATTCAAGAATCAAAATCCTCCAAAAAAATGGAGAAACGGTCAATGATTGCCAGAACCACCTCACTGGTACGGAAAGGTCTATAACTGTCATGGGACAGTTCGTTGGTTCTGCCTATGTCCAATTTTCATTTACTTAATGCTGCTAACATTAAACATACAAAACTTAAGAGGCATTTGTATGCGCGATCAATTACCAATGCAGCTAAAAGTATTAAAAATTTATCATTAATCTTCATAAACTCCCAGGACCGTGTACTCGCCGTGTATCTCTGGTTTTATTGGTCAAATGATGATGCAATCATATTTGCCAATGAGACTACTGAGTGGCGTAAGCCATTAACAAAGCATGGCAAAGCTTGTTTGATTCTAACTAGTCAGCACAATTGCCAGCATTTCTGGAGAATTCAAACTTATTTATTATAAGGTATCGCGGCAGTAATCGATGCAGCCAAGACAAAAACGTCGTGATCATTCCGTATGAGGTTGGAAGACATCCCTGTTTTTATTGACATTAGCATGTATGACAATTCCGTCGCGTCAAAACATGGTTATACATTGTTGCGATTTAGCAAAGGTCGTCATGATTCACTGAGCAATTAATTATATACAAAGCCATTTTATTATATGGTCTTCCGTTAAGTTTAGAAGATCGACACAAAATCGAGCTCGCGACGGCATAGTCGTTGACACGTTTAAATATATCACCAAGGACAACTATGCCGCCTTGATTGATTTCCCTGGGGTCCATCTAAATGTACTTCTCACATTTCGTTGTCACTATTGTAGTTTGGTATGGAGTATTTACATCTGAGTCAACATAATACACAAACAACTAAATGTCTCAGTATGTGTTCAAAATTTATAATTATGTATCTATTTGTTGTACAAGTTTGCACAGATTATGAATAATTATAAAGATATCGTTCCGCATTAATATTTATATCAAAGTGACTGTCTGATAAAAGAAGCAACTCTTTATCTGATTTTAAAAGTGGAATATGCTTTTATTGTTTTGGAAAGGATCCATTAGCTAGGATAAATATTCACAATGTCAAGTTAAACTCATTTTTTATGTTTAGCGACAAATTGGATGATTTATGTAAATGTAACGTTCTAACAAGTATTTCAGTGCAATCATATGGACAAGTTCCATTTCAAAAGGACCACTTCATTCTCAAATACATTTGCATGCAAAGACTACAATGAGTATTAAAATGTCTATTTTCAATATTTGCATTTCTATTTTGCTACAACGTGTTCAGTTTGGCAGTGTTTGAAAATCATTTTGTCATATCATCGCTTCCCATTCATGTTTTGTGAAACATACCCCAATATGTAGCTGCTTTACGGTAAAGGACATTAAATTGATAAATTCCACTTATTCTTCCCTGAAAGCATATGTTATTCATAATTTTTAAAAAATTTAAAACATTATCTTAATGAAAATATGTAATGTGCATCGTTTGCTAAGTCTGCATATGTTAATACTAGCATGCTTTGTTTGTATTATCGTTATTATTAAATATATATATTTTCATTCAACAGATGCGTTGATGGATTAATAGTACTAATTCAAAAGTCTTCAAATGTTTAAATATTAAAACTATTAACATGACATTCACAAACAGTAATCGCCAGAATAATGCAACTTTAACAGTTTGATGTTTGTTTTCCATGGACCCCTTATTTAGCAAAAAGTGTATGCTAATAATTGTTTCAACATTCCCTTTCCATTCCAACCCTGTATTTGCTACAAATAGTTTTGAAACAGTGTCAGTGCAGAAGGTTTTCTCCAGATGCGTCACCATAGATCTTTGATGTTACTTAACGATTTCGGGAAACAAAGTACAAGTGTTGTGTTCTTTTATGTTTTTATTATATTTGTTTTGAAGCGAATGTTAAACTATTCAAATAGAACTTCTCAAGGATAGGTTTTGTTTACTAGCATGATGCATCAGTTTTGATTACTCGTAACCATATCAGATGAGTGTGAGTTCCAGTGGAGAATGATTGAGCGATAAAGATAATGTAAAATCACACATAATACATCTCCATCGAATCCTAGATGTTCTCAACAAGGTATTTCTTCATGTCAAGCCATGTGTTAAGTATAATGTGTCAAATCCGTAAATATTGGAAACAAACACTTATCATGACACGTAAAAATGCGGTTATGAAACAAAGCTTTAGTAGATAACAAATTACCAAATAGCCAAATAGCCGATGGAAGATACTAAGACGAAATTAGATAACACGAACCCAATCATGGTTGGTTGAATTTTTTACGGCGCACCAGCACAATAAAGCCATTTAGCGCCATATAAAAGTTGATATCTTTTATTATGTACAAATGATAAAAATGTTTTTATCGGCCAGCGATACGAAACCAATTAGCTAAAGGTAAAACGAGAAAAATGGTAACAGTGATAAAAAATAAAGTTTCCCGATCAACGGGGATTGCAAATAATGTAAGACAAGGAAAACATATGAAATGTAATTAAACTCTAACGACCGTAGATATATAGCACATAAAAATATTTACGATGATGACATAAAAGCTATCATGCTACA